GAATCGAATCGAATCGAATCGTGGTGTATTCCTGAGTATCAAAATAATCGAATCGTTGGGTCAGGAAATCGATACTGAATCGAATCGCCATGATGGATGTGATTTACACCCCTACAGGCCACCCTGCAGGTTAGTGTTTTATCATCGTCTTCTGAACAAGAATGATATTTAGCAGCTCAAGATATCAGGTGACATCTTTAGATGTGGCTTTTCTTCAATGACCATCCTAGCTCTAAATAACAGCCGATCCGCCCAAGCAGGACATCAGGCATCTTTGACCTGCTTAGAGGTGAACCCGCTCATCTGTTTTGGATTATATTTCTGCTGTTTCTGAGCTATAGCACATAAACTGTGAACCGGACCGTCTCCTTAGGAGTTTTTCACGATTTCAATCGTTATAGGAAGTCGGGCCGCTCCTGAAGCAGAAAACTAGCCCCATACCATCACACTACCACCACCCTGCTGGAACATTGGCATTATGTTCTTCTGAAGAGTTGAGAGTCTTTGTTCTGCAGATCTTTAGATGTTGCTGATTTGTAATGAGTCGTCGTTGCTCTTTTAGAGGAATTATTGCGATTCTTTAAAAGAAAGGAATTGTTAGAATAGATTTAGAAAGGAAGAAGAATAGAAACGAAATTCACTCTCTGCATTTAATCTATCCCTTTGGGGAGCAGTGGGCTGCCATTGAGCCGCTGCCATCCAAGCGCAATGCCCTAACCACTAGGCCACCGCTCTCCTCCTACTTCCTGTTGACAAACAGGTTCTGTTTCTTTAATGTAAAGGTTTGGCAGGAAAGAGGCCTGATTGAAGCTGCAGAAACTGAACTTATATTCTGAAAATAAACTGCAAAAAAATCCCAAACGTTTTGCATTTTTTTAGGAGGATAAAAAAGATCACCCTACCCAGCACCGGACGTTTGCGTCACTTTACAAACGAGACTCTGCTGGACGTCCTTTTCTACAACAGTCCAACTTACTGCCAGACCATCATGGACACCGTAGCTCTGGAGATCAACCGGCTCTACGCTCTGTTTATGAAGAGGAACCCCGACTACAGGGGAGGAATATCAGTGGCCGGACACAGCTTGGGTAAAACCAAATCCGTTTGTCTTTTTTTTTGATCAGCAGGTTCATGTTTCTGCCTCTTGTTTTAATCGTTGCTTTCTTTTATGTTTCTGCAGGATCTCTGATTCTCTTCGATCTGCTCTCCAATCAGAAAACCGTCTCGCCAGCGCTGATGATGCCACCCATGCCTGCTACTAACGGAGATGCCAAACAGGTGGAGCAACAAACCCAAAAGAGAATACTGAAAGATTTTATCACATTTTATGCATGAACCTAAAAAAAGCTGCTGGTTGTTCCAGGTGATGGCTCCTACGTCACAGACGGACAGCGCTGTCAGTCCTGCTGCTGGGGAGGAGCCGGCCAAAGAGGACGAGGAAGAGTTTGAGGACCTCGCCGCCATGCTGCAACATCTGGGGCTCTCTGAATACAAGAGCATCTTTGATCAGGAGAAGATTGACGAAGAATCCTTCGTAAGAAAGATATTGGTTTAGAGAAGAATAAAAAAAGAGCTTCAATAAGAAAAACAGTGATAAGTTTCCCTCTGTGTTGCTTCAGCTCATGTGCACGATGGAGGACCTGAAAGAGATGGACATCCCACTGGGTCCTCGGAAGAAAATGGCCAAGTTTGTGAAGGAGCGGTTGAGCAGACAGGTAGGCTCGATTTGTGAACCTGAGCAGCCTTTGGACCTGCTGCAGGTGACGGTTGTTTGTGGTGTCCAGGCTGCACGCCAAGCTGCCCAAGAGAAGAAAGCAGAGATGAAGGAGGGTCAGGCTGCGGTGCCTCAGCCAGCGTCTGAAGATCCTGCTGGAAGCGCCGCACCGAAGCCACCGGCGGCCGGCTCCGTCTCCTCTGTCCACGTCAACTACAACTACTTTGAAGTTGGAACTGGACAAGTAATCATCAGAGTTCATCACTAAAAAAAGAAATAGAAGTTCTAGATGAATGGAGCGGAGCTCGAGCGACTTTGTTTCTGGTTCTGCAGGTTTCTGTGATCTACCACAGCCTGGACTTTGAGCCGGTGAACTTCTTCGCTCTGGGTTCTCCAATCGGTATGTTCCTGACGGTCAGAGGGCTGGAGAAGATCGACGAGACGTACCAGCTGCCCACCTGCAAGGGGTTCTTCAACATCTATCACCCGGTAAGAAGCTCTTTAAACCCTGCAGGGAACGGCCGCTGGTGACGCTTTTCTAGACGCCGTCCGTGTCTGCCTTGTTTCAGTTGGACCCGGTGGCGTACAGAATCGAGCCCATGATCGTCCCAGACCTGGACCTGAAACCCGTTCTAATCCCACACTACAAAGGAAGGAAGAGGCTTCATCTCGGTACGAAACTTTCATGTCGTAATCTCTGACAGCTTTTTTTAAAGACCAACCATCATCTCAGCAGAAACGGTTTCAGTTCTTAGTTTTGGCCACATTTTGTTGCTGAATCTCAGTTTTGGTTTGTTTAGTGTGAAAATAAAAGGGAACACTTGGAGTTTCATATAACATCTCATTTAATCTTTTATTCGCATTTTGTTGTGTAGAAAAATTTTAAAACTTACAGTTTTACCTTTAATGTGAAATTCAGTTAAAGCAACAAACAAACCAGTTAAGAAAAAAGTTTCAGTTTCATTGTGGTTAAAAAAAAATTGCCTACTCAACTTTTTTTCTCACTCCTATTTCTTCTTCTTTGCATTTAGAGGCTCTACTTAGATCCTTCTGGGGAAAAAAACCTGAATTACTACGACTTTCAGGGCCGTATATAAACTGTCGCGTTCACTAAAGCCGGAGTCCCTAAAGTCTAAAGATGCTTTTTCACTGTCGTTGTGATGTCATCTCTGAAATGAAATTATTAAATCTACATTTATTTAAGTATTAAATATACCATTTCATTTCAAAATCCACCTTTAAAGAATTTAATAAATTTAAAATGATGAAATAACTTCATTTTATTTAAAACAAAAATTTAAAATTAAAGCAACTTATACAGAAATTTAAAGTAATTTTTTTTTTTATCTGCAGTCTGTAGCATTTTTTTACCATTCTGCTTTGCCTGAGTAGATGATTGATGTGAAATCTAGAGTGTTGAACTCTAGAATTCTATTATATTTAATTCAAATGATAGGTGACATTAATAACAGGGTTCCTGCGGGTCCTTGAAAAGTCTTAAATGGCATGGAATTCTTCAAAATAAAACTAAGGCCTTAAAGGAATAGTACACCCAAAACATGATTAGCCTTCATTTTCTACTCACCCCCAT